CCATTCCTTTTCGGACATGCCGAAAACGCTGGCAGATGCAGTGTTTTCGCCGTTCTGTCCCCTATACTGCCTACATGACCCTCGCCATGGCCGGCGATGCAACTATGAACCTGCTTCAGAGCAGGCGCTGCGCACATCGATGGAACAAAACCAGTTCCTGCAAGATGTCGGTATTGCTTCACAACAGACTGGCGCAAACTCCCGCAAACTGCCGAGCCACGTGTAGGCTACCGCAGCGGGTGTGTGGTAGGGGTTGTCGTAGAAACAGTTTTAGCAGTAGCAGTAGCAGCAGCAGTAGCAGCAGCAGCAGCAGCAGCAGCAGCACTTCAGTAGCAGTAATAACAATTACAGGTGATTACAGCAGCTGTAGCAAGTACCTTCGATGCTGCAGCAGCAACCAAAGCAACCAGGTTTTGAAGTCAGATATCAGGTAGCCTGAACACAGCAATATGCTATTGGCAATATGACAGAAGCTAACACTTACGAGCATGGAGTGGTCATGTATTGTTCGGTGCTCGTCCGGGCCATATCCCTGCCCACCCCAGTACAAGCAAAAAGAGAAATAATCAATGAAGATAATGAGAAGCAGGGCCAAGCAGCTTTTCTAGCTGCTGCATGGCTCTGGCGCCGTCCGCCTTCACGATCCGGTACATGTTCAGAGCCTGTACACGGAACTAGAGCCTACTGTAGTGCATGCAGACTTTGGGACTCCGTGTTTGGTTGAGTTTCTTAGACTTGATTGACAGAACGTCCGAACGAGCCATGTGATTCGAAGTCTCGTTTGATCGATGAAGCAGCATCTGCCGAGCACTTCGTCGGGTTCGAAGAGTGCGGTCCACAGCTAAGGTTTGAGGATAGAAGTACCATACTTTCGAGATATTTTGTGAGCCTCGCGCACGTCTTTGATCTTGTCGTGAACGTCTCTCAGTCCATCCACGATGTCGGGACCTTGGTCGCTGTGGCCCAGGGACCGAAGATTGAAGCAATCACAACACCATGAGGCATACACTCAGCGACCACAGTTACAGTTGCTCCAACGCCCGGCGTGCATTCCAAGACGAACTGCAACCATGTGTCCAAAATCACAAGATGCCTCTGCGCCAGCCTTGGAGGCCCTGTTGCAGTTTCAAAATACACGCAACGCATATAGGACCTCAAGGAGTGAACGTGGCAGGCAAGTCCCGCAACCCACAACAATACATAAAACTCGCTGTTGCTGTAAACTCCTGAGTGGGCGGCCCAGGGCCGGATCTTTGCCTTGCCCCAGCCGGGGATCGATCTCCCCATAATCCTCAACAGCCAAGAGATTTTGAAGGCTTCTACCCAGTTTGGCCAAACCTTGAATACAGAGTCCAGAGTTTGGGGCATGATGGTGTGTCCTTCGGCAGAATCAATTCAAACTGGAACTACCACCACCGCTTCTTAGAAACCTTGTTTGGTTGTTTTTTGTCTGTTCGCGCTGGTGGGTTCCGCTTGTAGACATCTGCGCTTGGAAAGTGAGCATAGATAAGTTTGATACGGCCTTGCTGGCTTCCTCAAAAGCTACAGTCACACCGAAAAAAGAGCTGGGCCACAGCTCCACAGAACGCTCAAGTGTACTTATGATGTTGGAAACAGAATGCCTGAAACTGCCCCAAGATTTTCCAAGTGCATCACCTGCCTCAATCCGCACACTCAACTACCAAACCAGAAAGCCAGCCGTCAGCAAGACACAACAAAAACTTCGAAGCGTGTACCCCTTAGAATTTCAACAGGACGCCGCTTCCTGTTCCGGATCTTCTCCCTGCAGCAGGACGGAAGGTGGTACATGTGTAGCTGTGTTTTAAAGTGTGCGGTAGGGTAGGAGGGAACACCTCAAGGAGAAGGAGATGAAATACACCAGAACAAAAACTTCCTGGAAAAACACAGGGTTCAACGCAGGAGCCATCTTTCTGACACTACGTGACAAACCTGATGAGTGTCTCACGTTGCATGCCGAGAGCTATGATGATGGTAGCCATGACCGTGGCGACAGTTTCGACGAAGGTCACGTTCATGCTGATGGTGATGCTGATGAAAAGTGAGGTGGCGGCCAGAATGCGGATTAAGATGTATATGCAAATGACATGATGATGATGATGCTGATGATGATAGTGATCATAATGATGATCAGTGTTAATCCGACGCTAACACAGGTGCATCAGTCGAAGATTCTGGCCGACATCCGGCTCAACAGCGACAAAGGAGGGAGGGCAGAGGTTCGCTTGAGCTGTTAAAAGGAACAGGGTTCCGGGACCAAGGGGGCTACTTCATAAGAAATGGGGTTTTCTTCAGGCGGCGGGGCCGCTCTTCAGAGATCACAGGCCTGGGGCTTGGGACTTTCCGAAAGGGTGTTGGGGTTGTAGGACCTCAGGGTCTTCGGGTCTTAGGGTTTGTAGGGACAGGACCGGGCTACCAAGTTCACATTGGTAGCGGAGCCCGGCCTGTCGTTATCTAGTGGGGTGATAGATAACGGAAACAGGGGAAACAGGTAAGTAGGGAGCCCACCGTAGTCGGTGCCATGGCCAGCGCGGGAGATGAGGGTTCCATTGCAGCGGGGACCGGCAGCGCAGCGGCGTACGGTCATCTTCCGTGGCAACAAATCCCGAAATTTGTGCCAGGCGCCTGAAGTTCCTCAAAGAAATATGGCCTGCCGATAGCCTTCAGCATTTGGGTCCACGGGTGGTTCTTCAAGTGGAGGGCTCAGCTTTTCAGAAGATCAGCAGGATTGCTCCGGAGAAGCTTCGCAGTGAAGAAGGAGTCAAACTTATCGTGGAGGCCCTTGGGGGAGCATGGGGCAAGACTGCGGTTGAGGAGAAGTTTCACTTCTTCGAGCAGGCGATCCTTCAGGTGTCCCAGAAGAATGACGAAACCAACGATTCCTATTTAGCACGCCATGATGCTTTCTTTGAAGAACTCCTTGCGCGCAAAGAGACCATGGAGGAAGTGCGCGCCTACGTTTTACTACGCCGCAGCCAACTCGCCCCAGAAGACAAGAAGCGGGTGGTCATTGAGTCCGAGGACAACCTCAAGTACAAAGAGACTGTCAAAGCGATGAGATTGTTGGGCTCCAAAATTTTTTGGAGATCTTCAGAACAAGAGTGCCGCAGGAAACCGAGGTTTGGAACGGAACAAAATCTACGACGTGGACTACACGGAGGAAAGTGGTGCCGAGGATGTCTAGTACAGCACTGTGCCCGAGGAGGAACCGAGCGACGAGGACCTCTTGTGCTATTTCCTGGACATCAACGATGAGGACGCCACCTACATCACCGAGTTCGAGGACAGCATCGTGGACGCCATCCAGGGCAGCGAGCTGGCACCAGTGTATGTGACATACCAGGAGGCTCGACAAAGGCTTCGTGAGAAAGCAAAAGCACGTGGATATTGGCCCGCCAAGGGCCGTGGAAAGAGGAAAGGATCCGGAAAGAGAGGCAGAGAAACTTCATCGTCTTCGGAAATGGTGGGGCAATGGTCGCAACCGGTCTCTCGCCGACCGCATTGCGAATTCCACCTGTCGCATTTGCCATCAGAAAAGCCACTGGAAGCGGGAGTGTCCCCGCAGATTTGGCCAGCAGGGCAATGAATCCAAGGTGGAGGTGACCCCACTTTACCCGAGAGACCTCCGACCACTACGCCCAGTGCACACCGTGCCACCGGAGTCCGAGCACTACTTTGGAGAAGAGGACAGACAGGAAGCCAGACGGATCTGTGTGCCAGGGGTTCAGAGGATCGGACGAATTCATTCTTCATTCTCTCCATGTCTTGTGGCTACTGTGCCTAAAGGGGATTTTAGCCAGCCTTGGAAAGAGAATCTTGCACAAAAGTTGTGAATGCTTGCCAGGAAACATAGACGATGCACCGCGGCGACATCCAGGCAGAGACTCACTCCGAGAATTTGGGCCGAAGCGGCAGAGACAACAGTCTTGATTGAGGAGCAGCAAGCCCCGAAGTGATGGTTGCAATGAGGCAGCGCTAGTGGTTACGACGGGGGCTGAGGGTGTTTTGGATACAGGGGCTAGCCGCATTGTAGTGGGAAGCCAACGGGTTCGTGAAATCCTCGAGGGGCTTGATGCTGAATGCCGGAACGGTGTTCGAAAGACTTCGTCGGACATCGTGTTCAGGTTTGGCAACACCGGCACGCTCCAGTCAAAACAGCTCTGCTTCTGCCCATATCGGAGTCCGCCTGGATTCGAGTTGAGGTGATCCCTGGTAACACGCCGTTGCTCGTATCCAATCAATTGCTTCGAGAGCTAGATGCGGTGATTCATGTTAGGACTAAGTTTCTTCAATTGCCAGGTAGGAAGGTTCCCATGAGGTTTGATAGCACGGGACTGTCCGTTGTTGATCTCTCGGCATTGCTGCGCAGCTCGACAGCAGACCGTGCAAACATGCACCGACACAACAAACGCGCCAACCATTCACTCGCCACAGCCGCGACCAGCTCAGCTCTCAAGCGCACCATCCTCCGAGACTCCGTCTTCTGTGGATCATCGTCATGCCGCTCTCGCGCAAGGATGCCTTGACGTGGACGAGCCATTGGTGGCTCCCGAGCGCGGAGCCATTGCACTGGATCGGCCCAGTCTCGAGCCTACAGGCGGCAGCGCGGGCCGAACAGATGGCAGACCAGCGCTGTCAAAGCAAGGACACCCGGCCAACGCAAAACCAGACGGAGCCAGGACATCGTGTTCTTCGAGGGCGAGGACGGGATCGAGGACTGGAAGTTGTGCCTCAGCGGAGCCAGCACGCCACTTCCGCCAATCCGACCGGGAGCTCAGCATCCACCGCCGAGGCCAACAAAGGAAAGCGAGCGACCATCGAGGACCCCACGCCGGACCGCGGAGCAGCGCGTCGACATCCGCACCAAGAAAGCCCTCCTCCAAAGAGAGCTTGCGAAGTTGGAGCAGTTGGAGGCGGACTCTTGGGAAGAGGAGAAGTGAGTTCATTGCAGGGCCACCGTGGCTCTATGAACCTCGGTAATCATGTTGAGCAAACGCTGGCAACTTGCAAGAGGATTGATGCGTGCATCTTTCAGATTGAAGAGAAGCTTGGAAAACTTCATTTTTGCAAACGGTGATTTTCGTAAAAAGATGCACTACAAGTTGCCCCGGCTTGATGTTCTGGAAGTCACTTTGGCGGACAGTGGCATCAGCAATGCCATCCGGAATCGCCAGGGCCGCGCCGTGTCCGTTCAGACCATGGAAGCCAATCGCATTTGGTTCATGATTCATATGTACGAGCCCAAGCATCTCTGGATCAATTGCGGCAGGCAGAATCCTTCAAAGATATTTTGGCCTAGAGGGCTGCTTGACGACCTTTACGAACATCAGATTGAGCAAGGGCGTCATTTCCATGTTTGCTGTGGTCAAAATATCTTTGCGGAGTCCACTCCAGAATTGCAGGACGTGATGCATGGCACCATGTGCGCAGTCCACTTTCCTTCGGAAGTGATGGGATTGGGAAAGATGAGCGGCAACAAGTTTCTGAACAAGAAGAGCTTTATCTACACAACATCCCGAGTGGTTCACGAAGCCACCAATACCCATAGGGCGAAGAGGCACCTTTCCAATCCCGGTCAGCTCCCAAGCAACACGCCTGCACCACGAAGCCAGACATGGCAGCTCCGACTGGCTGAGCATGCAGCAGCAGCAATGATCTCGGATTGCAGTGTTCCTTTGTATCTGTCTGAGCTACTCGTGACAAACCTTAAGCGTGACGGGGACATCAACTTGAGTAATCATGCCGCGCTTGAAAATGCTCAGCAAGTTGTGAAGCGCCGACGGCTTCTTCGGAGGCAACCGCCTGAGGTGAGCAAACCTCGGGATCAGCAATCTGAGGCCTCGTGGGTAACTATCTTTAGGAAGTTTGATTTTCCTCATAGGGGTCGTGTGTACTTTAAAGATGGGGATGATGTTGTAAAACAGGTTCAGGAGTTGATCCCGCAATTTGAAGTCAAACGTGTCGTGATGGCTCGTGGCACCAATCGCGTCCAACCGCCGAAGCCCGGCCTTGAGATTCAGGACATTCCTTTCGTCAAACAGTAGTGGTTTCCCGGGTCGACGGTAAGGTTATGAAGGGCGGTGGTTGTGAGTCATGGGCGAAGAGTCCTAAATACAAACTGTGGCGTCGAGGAATAATACCTGCACGAGTCAGTCTCTCACGGCATACGGCTCAGAGTTTCTTCAGATGAGGGCCGATAGGGCAACAATCGATGTACCTCTAGATGTATCGGTGCCGTCTGGAGCGCATTCCTCGTTACACGTTATGTTCCGCACTGTGAGACTGCAGCGGGTCCCTCCCGCAACGGTCCTTCATTCACCACTGCCGGTTCAGCACAACCTCCAAGTACGAGTCTTCCTGCCATCCCTCCTGAACTAGAGCAGGGACATCCTCCCGTAATGAATGGGCCTGGGTATTTGAGGTTGAATGAACAGGAAATGAGGGAGCTAGGAAGACTTCACCAAAATCTTGGACATCCAGACACGGGCATCATGGTGAAGTTTTTGAGTGAACATAAGGCGGATCCACGCATTATTCAAGGGGCTAAGGATTTTTCCTGCAGTACGTGTCTTGAGTCGGTGTCTGGGCCCAAACCTGCTAGGCCCGCAGCGATTCATGTGGATGCCGATTTTGGCGATGTCATTGGCATGGATGTAGCATATTGGAGTTGGCAGAGTGGTCACAAGTATATGTTCACTCATATCCTTGATGAAGCAACGTTGTTTCATCAGGCCACAGCATCCGGAAGAACAATGGAAGACCAGTACGATACTCTCACCGACAGCTGGACCAAATGGGCCGGCCACGTCGTACGGTACCGGCCGCTGGGCCGCAACTCTACGAGCTACAGCTACCAACAAACCTACCGGTGCACACGTGGCTCACCTAACTACACGAGGCACTTGAGCCGAAACATTGTTTGGCAAAGCTGTGTAATCAACAAGCAACAAGAAGCTATTACAGCTCTGCAACAGACTGTGCACATGCCTTCATGACATGTATGACAGCTCACAATCGCCCCTCAGCCGAGGCTCCAGGTGCCATATGCCAAAGGCCGGCATCATGAGCAGTGATGTCGCGAAAAGGGGGTGCGCGTCGAACGGCGGCTTGGGCGAAGCCCGCACGTACGACCGAACGACGAGCAATGCACCAACAACCCCTTAACCACCACCTCCAAAGACCTGGCGCACACGCCCACTCGGTTTCTTCGTGTTGCCTTGAGGGTGAGGCCGAGCTACCCTCAGTCTCTGCTCTTAGAGAGCTGTGGAACAGACTACTTTACAGGGACCGCCACAGGGACACTTCCTCCAAGACGGCGTCGCGCTTCTTGAGCGGACGGGTCCCTGACTTCTCGGGATACGGCGCCGCACCGCTGTCGACGGCTGACGCCTTCCCGCAAGCGTGGATCCAAGTCCACGCACCGCCGCAGCGGACGAGCACAAGCTCGCGCCGCGGCGGGCCGCGTAGGGACCTGGGGAGCACGTTTCCCAGAACAACTCCCAATTGCGCAGCCGCCTAAGCCGGGTTCGCCACAAAGCAAACAGAGACAGCCCACTGTTTTCGGCTTCGCGAGTTCACGCTCCGTCCCCTGATTACGGCCACGTCGTATGGTACCGGCCGCTGGGCCGCAACTCTGCGAGCTACAGCTACCAACAAATCTACTGTGCACTTGGCACACCTAGTTACACAAGTCACTTGAGCCAAAACACTGTTTGGCAAAGTCGTGTTTACCCAACAAAATTCAACACGGAAGCTACTACAGCTCTGCAGCAGACTGTGTACACCCCCCACGACATGTATGACAGCGCAGCAATAGTAGTAGTGGTAGTGGTAGTGGTAGTGGTCGTGGTAGTGGTAGTGGTAGTGGAAGTGGAAGTGGTAGGGGTAGGGGTAGTGGTAGTGGTAGTGGTAGTGGTGGTGCTAGCAGTAGTAGTAGTAGTAGTAGTAGTAGTTGTTGTAGTAGTAGCAGCAG